CAGAAAGTTCGACGTTTGGAGGAACGGAAAAGGAACGTCGTTCCAGATGAAACGCTGACAGGAACGTCGTTCCCTTCCAGCGTTCCCACACCTGGGACTTTGAATTGAAAATCTGGTGTACAATACGGGGAACGCTGGGGGGAACGTCGTTTTCAATGGCGTTCCCGAGGCTGCCTTCCCCGAAACACCTCCAACATATTCGTTTATTGCTTCCTTGTGCTCCGCTTGATCCCCGGGGTCTTCCAATCATCCATTTATGCTCTTGAGACTCTTCAAAATGCTCGGTTTTCACCCCTACGATGCCCAAATCCTTCCCGTGGTTCCTACAACCAAAATATTCCACAAGTTTAACCAAAATGAGGAAATATATCTTCAAATGTTAACAAACAAAGACCATATTTATGAGAAAGTATTAGGTGCTTTCACATCTATCATATAGGCCATAAGTACGAGTATCGTCTCCACAAGCACGAAAAAAGAGAACTAAGTGTTGAATACTTCCAATGATTAGACAAATAAATTAAAATGTGATGTAAGAGATTTGATTTTTGGGTTTTAATTGTTGCGAATAAAAAACTAAAGGAAACGGCTCTTTCTAATTAATGACAGGAGAGAAACATGGATTGATTCCAAGGGCAACCAGATTTCGGGGCTGGTCAAACTTAAACAAATGAAATTTATTTAATTGAACAACGCAGCTTAATACTATGTGCTTACCCCTCTCACGGCGTAGACTACGATAATTTAGAGAATCAAGTTGACCTCTCATGCTACAAGTTTCTAAACTATTGCCAAAGCGAGCGAGCGTACGACTTCCAAATCATGTTAATCTCTTAACGAGCAATTAAGTGTGTGTCAAAGTGTCATACAATAATTTAGATCTCTCTTAAATCATTCTATGTGAAATTATAATTCTAGTGGTCATTCCAGTTTACAAAAGTAGTCAATTAAATATTCAAACACAAATTAAACGATAATCATACGATTAAACCCCCGAGAACGAAAACCTAGATCATGATTAACACCCTCTTCATCAATCTCAAATCCCTAACTAAAACTACTCACAATTATCTATGAATCTAAGGACTATTGATGGCCGAACCCGAGCTTAACGCCTGGCCGCCGCCTCAAAATCTCACGAAAGTGGATTGCAATTGCTTCGGTGTGGACGGAAGAAGGGCATTTGAAGGACTGAAGGAGGATCTCGTTTTTTGTGTCAGAGTTTTTGACTGAAACGCGGCTGAGAGCAGGGACTGATTCGGCACTCTGGCTTAATTTTTTAGGTATTTTCGTTCTTATTTTCATTCCGGCTAAGCTTCATTCTCTGGCCGAGTGTTGTTTTGCGTTTCTTTGCAAACGAGGAGCTTAGAGGAGGGCGAATCCCGTAAGAGAAGAGCAGTGGACTTGGAGAATTTGGTAGAGGTACAAGTAAATATGGAGGTCGATGGACATGGGTAAAAAAATGGGGCAGTGGCGGTGCTACAGAATCAGCACCGCCTGGAATATCATTAGCTGATGCAAAGGGGGGTCTTCCTTTGGAGGTGGCTGGACAAACCTCTTCTCCCTTCCCGATGGATGGTCAAGTCGGAATGCTGTCTTTGGAGGTGGTGGATCAAACCTCTTCTCCCTTGCTGGTGGCTGGTGAAACCAGAGAGTCTATTGATATTGCTCATTTTCATGTTTTGAATGCTTGGTTTTTATCTTTATGTCATAGTAGCAAGTCCAGCAATGCTGGTAGTTTAGTCTACCATATTGTGGAGTTAGCGATCTGGCACGGCCTCCCGGGCCTAGCTAGTTCTATGTCTCACTCTAGGGTTGCTCTGAGCTGTTGCTCTGCTTTGTCTACTGTTATTTTAAATATTATGAATAAATGAGTGTGTTTCTTTAAAAAAAACTACTCACAATTCATAATTGAAAGATCAATATAATTGAGAAGGAAATAATTAATTGTCATTAATTAAAAAGAAAGAACTTACAAATAATTCCAGAATCTTGATAATCCAAGGCTCAAATCCATTAGAAATTTTGTTCTAAGCTCTCACCTCTAATCTTTGCAACCTAAAACAGGGATTTACAGGTTTTTTGAATAGAAAAAGCAGCAATTTTGGCCAAAATAGGGTTTCTCGATCGTGGGAACAGGTTCCACGCACGGTGTGCGTGTGTCCGTGCGTCCTATAGAGCCCTTGCGTAAAAACTACCGCGCACGGCATGCGCGGCCTCCAGTAGCTTCACCGACAAATCACTTTCCGTGCATGAAGTGTCCAATACGTGCACACGACGTGCGTACCTTTGTCACTTGCTTCAAACTGTCTGCCACTCACGGCGTGCATGCTTCGTGCGCATGATGTGCGTGCTTCGTGTGATGGTGTGTGTGGCCCGTTTTCAACGTTTTCTTAAGTTTTCTTGCACCTCAAATGTGTCTCGACTCATCCCGATCAGCCCTCCCACACCGGTGTAGGGCTTAATATCCTGATTTGTACTCTAAAAATACCAAATACAAACAAAAACCGGTAAACAATGACTTGAGCTAATTAAGTGCTTTGTGACACATCTAAGTTAGGAAAATTGACAAAAACCAATCCTAACACGCATCAAATGCATTTTGAAATATGAGCTTAAGATTAAATTACAATAATTAATCTGACATGTTTTAGTACATTGACTTCATGCAATAAAAGACATTTAAGCATTTCAAGAGTGTTTTGATTAACAGTAGCGTCATAAGGGTAACGTAAGTCAAATCAGAAAACAAGCTAAGTGCATTTACTATATCAACTTTTTGTATTGGACTGATTTCAATCTAGAATATACTGACCGTATAATATCGAATATAATTCAATCAGTATATGATCAAGTCAACAATGAATCAAAATGTTAGCTAGCTTTTTCTTGTTTAACTGGAGGGAAAATTTAAACTATACTCCCTCCGTCCCCTTTTAAATGTCCCGGAGGAGGGTGGCACGGGTTTTAAGAAAAGTGGGTTTGTGTGGTTGATATTAATTGATAAAGTAAGAATAAAGCAAGAATGATTTTGAGCCACACAAACTTTACCAAATAAGGTATGGGACATTTAAATAGGGACATCCCAATATGGTAAAACGAGACATTTAAAAGGGGACGGAGGCAATGGCGGACCCACTAAGGGTCTCATGGGGTCCCGGGACCCCGTGGACTTCCAAAACAATACCTATATATATTATTTATATTTTAAATAAAATTAATTCGTAAATGTATATTGCCAACAATAGAGCCAAATGAACTGAATGACTTCAGCAGAGGAACGGGAGTTTGAGAGTGCGTAAGTCCCTCTTCTGGCGCGCAGGTGCAAGGTTCGATTCCTATCAAGGTGAAAACTCCTTGTTTTTTTTGTAACTTTGCACCTTTTTTGTCTTTTTGCATAATTCATTTAAATTTATACTTTGTACCAGTCGTATTTAGGATGAAATATGTTTTATTTCCCAGAGATTTATTTAGTCCTATTAAAAGAAAAACTTGACTAAAATAGGAGTGAATGAATCCTATTTTGGGAATTACACATTGATTTTCATATTTTTGAATTTTATCCATGTTTTAGTCCTATTTAGAGAATGTTCTCTTATTAAATTTGTGTATTTATGAATGCTTTTTTAATATTTTACGATATAGGATGAAAAGATATTTCAATAGTGTATCCAGATTTAAAGAAATTTGGTTTATCGAGAGTAGTTAAGATGTTAATGCAAATGATTCGTCATTAGTAAAAGAAGAATTGGATAAAGTAACTGATGAAAGTGATACTAATTTGGCTTATAATTTACATACACAACATGTTGATTTTGAATGTTTAGAAGCTAATACTAGATTAAGAGAAAAAATGTTGATTTTCATCCTAATATTCAAGACGAAGTACGTCACAGTTACCTTAAAAAAGGATCGTTTCACCATCGGAATCATGATTTCCCTTTTAAAGTAACTGGCGGCAAAAGACGTAGATTTGTTTGAAGTTGGTTTGATGAGCATTAATGATTCAAATACACTATTGCCAAAAATGTTGCGTTTTGATTCTTGCTATTTGTTTAAGAATGAGTGAGAAGTTGGTGGTGATCGTGTTTTAGGAATAGGGTTTTCAGATGCTATATTTTGTTTACCATGTTATATCCATTTTAAGATTGATACGGCATTTTTTCCACCATCTTATTTGTAGTTTATCATGTTATTTGTTTAATTTTATATTAATTAGAATGACATTTAGACAGGGACCCCATGACTCTCTTTTTCTGGGTCCGCCACTGGACGGAGGGAGTATTAATTAATCTGACAGGTTTTAGTACGTTGACTTCATGCAATAGAAGACGTTGAAGCATTTCAAGAGGGGTTTTGATGAACGGTAACTTCATAAGGGTAACATATAGCAAGTAAAACAAAATAAAAGGTCCAGTTACGTTCTATATAATTTTTTTTAATTGGACAGTTTTTGTCTGGTGTTGATTTCTTAAGTTTTGGCTTAGTTATTTAATAACATCTATTCTACTATAAAAGCACACTTTTTTTAGGAATAGTGTTCCCTCCCAAAACTATCAACATCATGCCTTTGTTATTTTTCTATCAAAAAACAACTCACAATCTATTTTAGCTTTCTATTTTTCAAGGTCGAAAATTCAGTTTGCAAGACTTTGATGAATGGTGTCCAATTTTTATTGGATGTTGAGGTACACTGCACTGTTTATCAATTTCTGCTTTGTTTCCATTGGTTGATGACGTCGGTGACACTGTTTGTGAAAAATATCTTATATTTTCGTGTGTATAAAAAGGGTGGTTGGTGAGAATTCATTAAAGTACGATTCCCCTATTGGTTCAAACGGGTGGGCAGATCAAATTCCGTACGTGTAAATAGTTTATGTTTTGATTGCTTGATTGCTATTGGTGGGAATGGGTGGTGGAATAGTTATTTAATTTATTGTTTGTATACTCAACAGCCCATTTAAATACAAGGGCGTGCTAGCACAATATGCATCCCAAGCATCAGAAACTAAAATCTTTGTGCGTAAAGTATTTCTTTGGAAAAATGGTTGGAATGTGGTCAATGATTAGGCAAATTGATCAATCAAAAACTACATGGGCCATAAAGGCAAGGGCAACAAGGGTCTACCGAGAACCAGCACATGATGGATTTCCCCCTTCAATGGAAGTCATATTCCATGATGAAGAGGTGCTGAAAATACCTTTCATTCTATACGAGAGAAACGCTTTCCAGTTTTTTAATCATAATCTTTATTTTTTGTAGGGGTCTAAGATTCACGGACACATCCCGGATCAATTCATTGCCAAGTTTTTCGGTTTGTTCAGGGAGGGACGAGTTTATGCCATAAAAAATTTTATGGTGGAAGAAAATTTCATGTTTTTCAAAACCACAACAAGCGCATATAGGCTACGATTCTTCAAAAAGAGTGAGGCCTTCGAAATTAAGGTTCCATTTCCCTTAAGGACGTTTTCCTTGGTGTCCTTTGCACACTTGCAGGCACAAGACTCTATCGACGACAAGGCAGCGATTGGTAAGTTTGTTAGTAAATACATTGTTGTGTTTTTTTTTTAAATAAGGCTGTGTTAAATTTGCAGCCAATTGAGTTATATATGACATAATGCAGATATCATTGGACAAGTCGTCCATGATAAGGATCCAAAGACAATTCTAAAAAATGATCGCCCAAAAAAGTTAGTGGAGCTAATCCTTGGAGATACAGAGTTAGTAACTTTGTGAATATGGTTTTTTCACATACACTCTCGCCACTAAACGTTTATCTAAGGTTTTGTGCTTATTTTTAAAGGGGCAATGTCATCGCATGCACTCTTTGGGGTCCAATGGTCGATATGTTGATGTCGTATAAACTGACTACGGGCGAACCCATAGTCATGTTGCTTCAATGCTGCCGGGCTAAGAAATACCAAGGTATTTCTTTTCTGAATGTTTACATGCTGTTACATGAGTAAATATAGTTTCTAATGTTTTTTATTTAAATAAACTTAGGGCAAGTGCATGTATCCAACATGTTTAACACAACCAAGGTTATTCTCAACGGGGTAGAAGACGAGTTCAACGATTTTAAATCAAAGATGGCTAGCAGGTGTGGCGAAGGTTTGAGCTTCACAATCGCATCCGATACATCCAATGACGCAGACATCAGTTCTGGTCAGATTCAGTTGGTTACTATTGAACAGCTCACTAAAATGGAAGAGGTTAGGTATTCAGGGCTAATTCTTTAACGTTTTAGGGTTTCTATATAGGTTTTTATTGACTTCTCATGTCTTGATAAGGATGGCAAGCACTGGATATATGGAGAGATTGCCGGCATTGATAGCCACAAAGACTGGTCTTATGTTTCGTGCATTGGTTGTAATCGAAAAGTGACTCCCAATGGTGACGGGTTTCAGTGCCTCTCTTGCAATTCTTCAGACGCTGTTTTGAGGTATTGTTTCCTAAAGAACTGTTTTTCTCGCTAAATTTTTTTGATCTAACTAATAATATTGTCGTAGGTACAAAGTCAACATTCGAGTGGTCGATAAAACATCGCACGCGTCCTTTCTGCTGTGGGACAGAGAGGTGTCGTGCTTGATCGGGCGATCTGCTTCATCATTGAAAGAACAAGTAAATAAGGTCGAATTGTTATTTTTATTGATAGATTTTTGTGAGTGTAATTTTGGGACACCATAATCATTTTCTAATTTGGTGCAGAGAAATTTTGGACCGCATTATTTCCCTTCCGAGATCAATGCCTTGATGGACATCAAGGCCCTGTTCCGCGTTCAGTGTAAACGTGATAGCCGAAATTACAAGGGTAATCAGAACTATAGCGTCCTTCGAATGAATACTGACCCCAGGGTTATATCACTTTATGTCACTGAGACGACATTATCAGAGGTTAGATGTGTAAATTTCCCTACTAAGTATTCGGGGACCTTATCTAAAATGAATTGGATGTAGTAAAGTGTCTATTTACCTACGCAGGATGAGGATGAGTTTTCTTTGTTGAGGAGAGAGTTTGCTGGTGGAGAAAGGGTAAACACAGTGTTATTGTTTTGTATGTCAGCTTCTGTTTTTTGAAGGCCTAACCAATGACCCAATTCCAGGTTGCGTCTACGGAGCAGGTGAATTCGAGCAGCCCCTTACTAGACAAGGAGAAGAGAAGTGCTCTGGAAGTTGATACTGAGAAGATCAAGAGGAACCTGTTTGGAGAATCCTCATCCACCGAGCCAGCTAAAAAAATACCAGCCAAAAAGATGAAGGGGATCAAGATCGAGGAACCTAAAACCTGAAGCTATCCCATGGATTTCAAATATATTTGGGGTGTGCGACGGGTATTAATAAGTGTTTAGTAAAAAGGCCTAAATAAAACCTGCGGGATGGACACTGTTATGAAGGATAGATATGCTGCGATAGATATAGTCAGCGTCTCTAATGTTTCCCTTTTTTGGATTTTGTTAACTGTTGACACACTACTACCTAAAGTGTGATCATTATAACCCAAGTACCCCCATATTATTGTATGATCCATGTCTACGGTCTTATATGTATACTACTATCTAGGGTCAAATATGTGGTCTATTCCAATCTAAATGTGTGGAAAATATATAATGTGAAATGTTTATGCCTGTCTTGAGTGCTCATGTCATACAGTTTTAGCAACAAACAAATGCTCAATCGTTAAGTTCAATCAATCATACTTAAACCCATATAAAATGTGTGGCACTCATAAAAACATGGTGTAGCAGCTGTGTAATAATATGTTATGATATTTATGGGTTGCAATGAGTATATGTAAGAATGTCTAAATAAGACCTTTCTGCCCGGAGAGGTAATTTTCAGAAGGCAATAAAACCTAACATTATTGTCTTCTATGATTACTTAAGTCATGTATAAAGACATGAATATGAAATATGTTTTCAGCAATTCATGATGACTCACGTAACAATTAGTCAAAGAGCTAAAGGCTTTGACAAAACGTGTAGGTATATTGGTCTTCACATAAGTAATCTGTAAAGCCAGCATCATCTATCATGTAGTCAAAATCTATCTAAATAGAATACATATTGTTTTTGGTTAAACAAACATTCATATGTCCGTGTCTAAACGTTTCAGAGGAAAATAATCAATGGTGCAGGTGTGTGAACATTTTAAAACTTATGCTTTCGGTTTGGGAAAAAAAAATTGTGCAAGTGGCATTGTTCTTCCTTTAGTAAAGCAGGCTGCTTTTTTAAAAGTGTAAAATTTTCACTTCTCAATGGAAGATTTTTTGGTGGCCAGGGAGTTCATGAGTAAAATTTCTGCAGCAAACCTAAAGAGCATTTCTCATCAACATACACGTAGTAGAAAAATAGCTGCGTATAAATTTAAAGATAAGTTGAATGAAAAACATACCTGGGGTCTGGCTTGAGCGGGGAATGTCCTGAATCTATTCTAGGTCTAATTATTACAACATTTTCAATTAAAACAAGACGGCAATACTAAAAAATTACATAACTCAATCAAAAACCACAGTTCATTTAATTTCCCATGTTAGGCCTGCAATTTACAACATGCGGTCTGCGTTAGAACATTCTTATATGTAATTTCCAGTTTGGGAAATGGTAATGCAGATTAAAGTTGAATGTGCTGCCATAATTTCGGGGAGCCAAAATGCACAAATCATATAGTTGAGGTGGGGATAATCAGAATTACACCATATATCACCACCCCCCTGATTGGCTGGCATTACCAGGGCAGCGAGTTACGCAGTGGCATTTCATATCTTATACTATAAATTTACAACCGGCCATAAGGCAGTAATACTAGGAAATACTTAGAATTATACCAAATCAGGACTTAAATCAGTACATTATTTAATATGGCATTTTATAGGGCACAATGTGAATGACAGATGCCAAGATATTGAAAAGAAACCATTAATGATTTTTAGGTGGGTGAATGTGTAAAACGTCATTTGTGACAGTATTTAGATAGAAAGTCGTTTTGACCCCCCTCCCCTCCCCTGAGTTCAGTGTAAATACGGAAATCATATAGTTAATTTGAGGATAATCAGAATTAATAATATTTTGCCACCCCCGCTGATAGGGTGGCATTACCAGGGCAGCGAGTTACACAGTGGCAATTCGTATGTTATACTATAAATTTACAACCGGCCATAAGTCAATAATACTGGGAAATACTTGGAATCATACCAAATCAAGCCTTAAATCAAAACAGGATACTGTCACATTTGCACCTTTTTCTTGGAAATAATCTTCATTCATGTTTATTTTATAGGGCATAATGTGAATGACAAATGCCAAGAGATTGAAAACACACCATTAATGATTTTGTGCTGGGTGAATGTGTAAAGCATCGTTTGTGACAGTATGGGTCTGTTTGCAACAACTTTTGCTTTTAAAAAAGTGCTTTTTTTAATGAAATAGGGAAAAGTGATTAAATAAAAGTTGATTGTGTTTGAGAAAAAAGTGAATTTGAAAAGTAAAAAATGGTAGTGTTTGGTAAAATAAGTGCTTTTTGTGTAATAGAAAAAGTAAAAGTACTTTTGACACGAAAGCCGAGAAAAATAAAAGTTGTAGTGTTTGGTAAATGAAGTGCTTTTTTAAAGCCAAAAGCTGAGAAGTGCTTTTTTTAAAGCGTTTGCAAACCAGCCCTATATAGCTAGAAAGGCATTTTGAGTTGCATTTTCAGGCCAATTGGTTTGAGTGTATAATACATTTCAATGTCTCAAGAAAACACCATTGATCACCATATTTTTTTAAAAAAAATTATGACCAAAATTTGCTTTAAGGAAATAAATACCTGGGTCTTTTGTTTAAGATTAAATTGCGGGAAATTTGATTTATTACCTTACAATGGGAAAACAAAATGTTGTATTTCAGGTCAATGAATAGCTGAGAAAAAATGGGTGCAAGATTCATTAATTGGAGGTGTAGCAGTTTTTACCATAGCATGGGTAAAGTCATGCAGAAAGTGAAAAAATTTCTTTGTGTTTTCAAATTTTTGAAAATTGATAAATCAATAAAAAAGTAGGTCTATGGGAGATATCGAGCTGTCAATTGTACCAATACAGATCTCACAGAGATTTGATTAAGAGATATTTTGTAAAAACAGTGTGGGAAGAATGGGCTTGGCGTGTAAATCTGACCTTTGTCAGTTAATTTTGTGGTAGAAAATTTGACACATAAAGATTTTGAGGGTAAATTATCACATTGCAGGGTAAGAGAGGCAGCATTGGTTGCTTTTTCTGCGCAAACAGTGTTTTAGTGGATAGTTAGTAGGCTGAGTGGAGGTAATCATTTTGTTTTACTGTTTTTGGCCCAAAAACATGGTTATGGTGATTCTTTGCAGATTTCGTATAACCTTTTGTGGCTTAGAGATCTGATAGGGTTGTCATGCTGATAGAAAATATATACATATATATATAAGTATACCCCTGTGTTAGTAAAAAATCAAGCAAAAGCTTAACTCTATCTCTTTCTTAAGCCTTCATTTCCTCAAACCATCCATCAACATTGTGCAAACTATAGCTGTGTCATTTAGGTGAGTGAGAATAGTAAATGTTTCTACCTTTGGTAATCTCCTAAAGAATAGGGTTAAAGTTTCATCTACTATAAATCCTATTTTCTGCACTTCCCTGATGTTTATTTAATTGAGGTTATTTTTTTCTTTCTAAAAACCCAAAATTTTCGCAGTGGTTGTCATTTTTTGTTGTGCGCTTAAATTTTTTTTAATTGATTTATAGGTGTGTCTTGCCCATCTGCCATCGAGATGAGATTGATTTTGTTCACACATTTTTTTTAGTTAAATTCATCATTTTTCAGCCTTCAGTTGAATTTGTCTTCAGTTTATGTTTAAATCTTTGAGGGTGACACTCAATCATGAGGGTTCAGCACCTTTTATTATAGAGCGGATATTTTAGGATGAATATACGATCCTGGAAAAACTTTGGCAAGTGTATATGGAGAATTTATTGTCCTTGGTTGTGAATCACTTTGAAGTAAATCTATGAATGGGGCTATTTGTAATATTGAATGATGAATAATGTATTATTAAATTTATCAAAGATTTTACGGTTACCTGCTTTTACATATTTGTTTGCAAAATCCAGGAATGGAAACCGAGGCAGTATTGGTAAATTTGGACGGGGGTATCGACGGTTCCAGTTTTGTTATGCAATGTGATAACTGTTTTTTAATGTTTCCCGAAACCCTTATGCGTAAGGTTGTTGATACTCAGCTGGAGATCTGTGTTAGGTGTTATGTTAAACACGACCTGCATTTTCTCATTGATGGAGTCTCGCTGATACCGACACCACCTTCACCGGCAGTTGTGCCGCCCATGTATGGAGATTATGATCTCCATTGGTGCTTTCAGACGGTTGGTGAGGCTTCGGAGACTCCCCCGGTGACACCAGCAGTTATGTCACCTATGTATGGGGATTATGATCTTGGGTGGTCCTTTGAGACGGTTGGTGAGGCTCCTGGGACAGCCCCTGGAACGCCCCCCGGTGGTGAAAGTGACAAGGTTATCTTAAGGCGTTCTACGCGCACAGTCAGTTTGAACAAGCATTACTTCAACGACGAGTTTATTGTGAACTACGATTTCGGTTTTCTTACTAGATAGTTAAGACCTTATGTAATATCACTTTGAAGGGATATTTTACCCACGGTATAAGTGGTTGACTGTTGCTTAGTTAGACTCATGTACTGCTACTGTGTTTTGCCCCCCAATGTTCAATAGTATGAATGTTTTAAGTATTTTGTTGTTGACTTTTAAAATATTAAACTGTGTTTGTTCGATGTGTGTATGTGGGATAACGCTTGATGAAAATATTATTTAGGTCTTTGTAATTTGATATAAAATTCTTTTCATACCTAGATATTAGGTGGTCAAAGTTTGTGTCCAGAAGCAACTGAGTGAATTCTTGCCGCGGTCATCGTCAATGCCTAAGCTAACAAGGTCGGTGGTAATCGGTCGCAAACGACCTAATTCAGGTATTTATACGTGTCATGAATGTGTGAAAATTAATTTGTGTCTAAATTGTGATATTTGGTGTTCTATTATTGTTGAGGCAATGAAAATCTTTTTAGAGTGTCTATTGTTTGGAATATTAATTGTGAATAAATGGTTGTTAAATGTTGCTTTTTCAGTAACTGTCTAGGGGAAACTGTATGTTTATTATTATATGGATACATAGATAGATTAATGCATACATGTCATGTGTGATATCATAAATGCTAACATGTAAGTAAGGATTATCTATTTGTTCTTCATTTTTCCTAAATGGTTAAACATAGAGTTGATGCTTAAATTAGATATAATCAAATGTGTCGAAATGTATATAATAAGCTATTGGGGAAAAAATTGTCGTCTAAAGTTGTTACCTGAGGCATGGTTTATAAATCAGGATTATTTAGAGCAAATTACTTAAGATTCTTACCATTCAAGACACATATATGACTTTGGTCATCCTTATGGCTCTGTGATGTTTTCTATCCTCATTTCATTGATCCTGACAGTAACAGATTCCAAAATTAATACCAGTTCATTTTAAATGAATTCGCCAAACAAAGCTGCTCATTATTAGTAGTGCTTTGTCACCTGCTATTTTGTAGTTGTTATGAACTTAAGAACTTTCCACCTTAGCTCATTGCACTGCAACAATTTGATGCAGTACCATTTCCTAAAATTGACACTGCATGTTAAGAAAAAAATAAAACAATGGACATTGAGTATAAATGTATGTGAAATAATAACAAAAACCGAGTGTACCTACCCTGTCGTCAGCAGCACGGTGAGGATGAGCATTCCCCCTTCACCATGTTGAATGGGTGGTAGCAGAGTATTTAGTTAAGTGGGTAAGGGTGTTAACATAAAGGGAAATGGGTTGTTGTTAAATGTAGTTGAAGAGTTGGGATGAAAGTTGAAGAAAAAGATTGTGTGTGAAATATGAACGCAAGTATTGATTTGGGTGAGTGGGTGTTCATTAATTAAAGGATACAGGAAAAGTGATGTTGTGTGTTTGAGATTTTAAAATGGTTTGTGGTGTGTATTTTTATCTACAGTGTGCTCTTTGTGGTCTGTTTTTTAAATAAAATTAATAAAATTAATGTGATGGGTGGTAGCAGAACTAATGCTGTGTGGGTGGTTGGGACTAATAACTGTGGTGGGTGGGATTTTGAAATTGTGAAGATGGCTGTGTAGGTTTTTATTTAAGATAGGTTTTTATTTAAGACAATTAATGTGGTAGGTGTTCGAGAATAATAAGTTAGGTTGATTGTTGGGTTGTGTGAGAATATTAATTGGGTGGTGAGTGGTGCGCATTAATTGATGTGTAGGGTAATGTGTGGTTTAAATATTAAAAAAACTGAAAGTTGGTGGGGCAGGCTGTTTTATTACACTGTGTGTACAGTGGGTTGTCGGTCCTTTTAACCGAAAGTGTAGATTCTTTTTCACAGAGTTACTTTTTACCTCTATTTTCATGATTCTTCTTATAGTGTAATAATAGTAATTGTAATAAAATTTAAAATCTAATCATCAGTTTATGTTCTATGAAAACAGTCTTATGATATACTTCTTGATTAATTAAGATGAAATATAAATTCCATTTCCTTAACCCTTAGAGCTGCCGATTCCAGTGTATTGTTATACGGAGTACTAAATTATACGGACTGGAAACATTCGTGTATTATAATTTATGGGGAAAATAAACTTCGAGATGCTAAAAATGTATGGAAATAGGGGCTATGGTGAATTTTTATAAACTAAATTTTTCAGAAAATATGTCGTGTGGAATAAATTTTTTTAAACTGTTACTGTGAATATCATGTTGGCCATGATCTTTAATATTCGAAAAAATTATATAATTTATAGGTAATGAAAAAATTAACCAAAAAACCAGAAAATTAAAATACATACTCTTTTCAGAGTAGGGTTTGCAGATCTGTTAGACTTCGAAGTTTTTTTGGTTAAAGCTTTATTATTCGACTTTTGCAAATAAACGAGTAATATACGCACTAAACTGTACCAGCGGTGAGAGGGCGTGTTCATCTCAAATCCGCGGACGTAGACTGTGACAGATCGAGTTGTGTTAAACAGATCTATGAGTATACGATGTGTGTGGTTTGTGTTGTTTTCGTTCGTGTAAGGTTGAGGGTTTCTGTTTCTGTTTTTGTGTTCTGCGTGGTGAGGAAGATACCTGCGAAGGAGAAGCCGTGGAACGCCTGAGATCTTAGGCCCGATGTTGTGTGGAGCCATCTTGGACCGTCACTTTTTGCTGCTCTGCGCGTCGGCTTTGTGGATGGTGGAATCGCGAAGGAGTTCTGCATGTCTGGTGTGCCATCTATCTCTATGTAGAGTAGCCGCCTCAAGCATGGAGTTTAAGTGTGGAGAGTCCATCATCTTTTTGTTCGCCGGTGGTGTTCATCTCAGATCTGAAGGGCGCTGCGCATGTTTTTAATCGTTCGGCAGTCGGTCGTTAGAGAGAGAGATAGCATGTCAGCCTGCCGGCGTAAAATCAGGAGGGTTTCGAATAGGGTGTGTCTGAGTGGCAGCTTATATGTTATGGGTTCATGGGTCGGGTGTAATTCCATTTCTGGGCCAGGCCGTCATAATGCTTGGGCTGTTCTTCCGTATTTAAGCATCAAACCAACTTTTTATCAATCATTTTGCATCCTGAATTTTCAATTTTTATGCTCTTCATAATATATCCAACATCCTTTATAGTCTTATTATTAAATTTACTTTGCTTTGTTATATTAATAGATTTGACAACATATTTCGTGTGAATTTTTCAATTGCTTTCAATGAAATGTAATAAATTTTATCCAATGTGTATCTTTGTAAAACAGTTCGAATTTGAAATTCGTGTGTTTTTTATATATGTATAAATCGTAATGTTTCGGAAACAATTTGTTATTTGTTAAGAATTGCTCGAGATTAGAGTAAATTGCTTTTTTGTATTTTGAAATAAAACATTTTTAAGCATAGCTTTAATGTTTTTTTAAATTCAAAGTTATTATTTGAACATAATAATTATGAGAAACTTTTTTTGGAGGTAGATGTATTCACTAATGCATGGTCATTTTTATTACACATGTTGCTCCTCTATATTGACTGTCCAATACACTTATTGGATGGTTGGGGTGCTTTTATATATTAATAGATTTAATTTCTTTTGGGTAATCCTTCTCAATTAAATTTTATTATTTCGATGTTAAAAATAAATTATTATTGTTAATTCTTTTGGCATCATTGGTCACAACTAATAAAAAAGGCGTTTATTTATATGCACCATACTACTACAACTTCTTATATCATTATTAAATATATGTATTAAATATATGTATTAAATCAATCCCTTTAAAAAAAAACTTGACCTCTTTTTAATGGTTTACTATGGTTTTTTTTGTTTTTTGGTTAATAATTTTTTTCCAAGACATTATTTCTAATTCGATGATGTAGATTTCATTTTGTTGGGTTTTGCATAATCAATGGGTCGGTTATTATGGTACCCGGTTCTTTACTTTTCATAAATATATTGTTCAGTTATTATTTCAATTGAAAGATTGTCTTCATTCCAATTTCAATTGATTTTTTCACTAATGGGGATGTTTTTTGTCTTTAATTCCTTTGTTCATGCTGCCCAATTTTTTTTGGGTTGCCCTTGGTTGTGCTTTTAATATTTATGTAGGCGCTTTTGAAGACGAATTTGTCTGTCAATATCCAACTCAACCTCGCGAAGTTGATAAGCGTTCGACAGAAGGTAGTGTACAATATGACAACAATGCGGTACAATACAAAGCACCCCCTTTGTTGATATCTATAGTGGTAACCTGGATAATGACACACTCTAGGTTTCTTAACCAACGTTGTATGGTAATCATATATTGCATAAAAAAAATTGGTAAAATGTGTTAATATTTTCACAGAAGGTTGCAGTAAACAAGCTCCCACAGAGCCTCAGTTTCCACATCATATGTCTTCAACGTTTCTTCACGTGGAGGATGAGCCACCAATTGATGATAGTGATGTTGATGATGAGTACGTAGATTATGAGACCTTTCCTGCACACAACCATAACAGAGCTGTCGGTGCGTGCTGTTAAATGATCAGTAATATTATCCACATTAACAAATATGTTGTTTTCTGTATTTATGATTTTATAATATTGTTGTTTGTTCCTGTATTGTAGAGTATTGGGACATTGGTGATGCACAGTATGTGTGTGAATTTTGCAATGCATTTTTTTGGTTTGAGGAACGTGTTGGTTCTGCGTCTGCTAAGGATAATCTTAAGTGTTCGTTGTGTTGCTGTCAAGGAAAGGTTGTCTTGCCTTTTATGAAAGAACCGCCCTCATTTCTATCTGAATTGATCCATGGATTTGATGAACGGAGCAAACATTTCATTGAAAACGTTAGATCATACAACAGTATGTTTTCATTCACGTCGATGGGCGGTAAAGTTGAACAAAATGTCAATAAAGGAAAGTCTCCACCAATTTTTAAGCTTCATGGGCAGAATTATCACCTGATTGGTAGCCTGTTGCCTCCACCTGGATCAAAACCCAAGTTTGCCCAATTGTATATTTATGACACGGAAAATGAAATTCGAAATAGAGTTTCATCCGTTGGGTAAGGCGATTGTCCATTTTTTCCTTGCACATTTTATAAATGATTTATGAATATAATTGTAAAAAATTTCTTGCAGTGATGATACTAGGACGAGGAAGTTACATGAAGGTTTAGTTGTTGGGTTGACTAAGATGCTCAACGAAAATAATGTTTTGGTAAAATGTTTTCGGCTTGCTAAGGACAAGATAGATACGAACACTGCGCCGAATGTGAGGCTCAAGTTAATTGGGAAGCGTTGCGGTGATGCGAGAACATATAATTTACCTTCTGTTTCTGAAGTAGCGGCTTTGGTCGTTGGAGATTTTGACGAGTCTTTGGGTGAGAGAGATATTTTGGTTGAGACACAATCAGGTGCACTTCAACGAATAAATGAACTAAATCCAGCCTATTTTGCGTTGCAATATCCATTATTGTTCCCTTACGGGGAGGACGGTTACCGTGAGGATACGCCATTGTCTAGGTGTGGTAATATTGTTGGAGGTGGCAGGAAAAGAGTGAGTGTTAGGGAGTTTCTTGCATTTCGGCTTCAAGACCGGTGTGACAATCATTCATCAATGTTGAAGACAAAAAGACTTTTTCAACAATTCATTGTTGACGGTTATACCTTGATTGAGGCTGCGCGGTTGAGATTTGTTAGGACCCATCAAACGGAGCTTCGTTGTGAGATGTATAAAGGTTTGAGTGATGCTTTTTTACGTGGAGAGAACGATTCACGCACACAGGGTAAGAGAATTGTGTTACCTCCTACCTTTACTGGGGGGGCACGTTATATGATACAAAATTATCAGGATGCAATGGCCATATGTAGGTGGGCAGGTTATCCAGATTTATTCATAACTTTTACGTGCAATCCAAGATGGCCTGAGATAGATCGTTTTTTGCATCCGCGGAATTTGAGAGCGGAAGATCGTCCCGATATAATAAGTCGTGTTTTCAAGGTCAAGCTCGATGGTTTGATTAGAGATCTGCGTAAAAATAAAGTATTTGGAAACGTTCGAGGAGGTAGTTTCTCTCCCTTCAATCCTTATTATTACATTAACATCATAATGCATATAATTTTACATCATTTGTTTGTTTTGCAGTCGTCTACACAATTGAGTTTCAGAAGCGTGGTTTGCCTCATGCGCATATTCTGTTATGGTTAGCGAACGAGGATAAATTGCCCTCACCGGTTGATATAGACAGGGTAATATCTGCCGAAATTCCAGATATTAACGTTGACCCAATGTATTATGCTGCTGTGAGGGACTTTATGATGCATGGACCTTGCGGTAATATTGCAAAATCTGCGCCTTGCATGGTTGATGGTAAATGTACCAAGCATTTTCCTAAAAAATGGTGTGCAGAGACGACAATCGACGACGACGGTTACCCAATGTATAAGAGGAGATATGATGACCGCAGAATAACGAAAAATAAGGTTGATTTGGACAATAGGTTTGTTGTTCCGCACAGCCGTTATTTATTGATGAAGTATGGAGCCCATATGAATGTAGAGTGGTGTAATCAGTCAAGGTCAATCAAATATTTGTTTAAATACATAAACAAAGGTCGTGACCGGGTCACGGCAGGGTTTTACCAGACGGCAGATGGTGATGCAGGACAAAAGCCAGTTGATGAGATACAAATGTACTATGATTGCAGATACATTTCCTCTTGCGAGGCTGCTTGGCGCATATTTGGTTTTGAAATTCAATATAAAACCCCGCCGGTTGAGCGTCTAAGCTTCCATTTACCGGAAGAGCAGAGTGTTGTTTTTCGCGATGATCAGTCACTGGATTCAGTGGTTCGTGCATGTTCTGTTAAAGAGAGTATGTTCACTGCTTGGATGGAGGCCAATAAGAAGTACCCGGAAGCTAGACTTTTGACGTACGCAGAGTTTCCTCAAAAGTTTGTTTGGAAAAAAAAGATAAGAGAATGGTCTCCAAGAAAACAAAAATTTGCTATTGGTAGAGTTTACCATGTCCATCCCGGCAGTGGTGAATCTTATTACCTCCGCTGTCTTTTGAATCACATTCGCGGTGCAACAAGTCATCAGGATTTGAGAACCTTGAATGGTGTCACTTATGATTCTTTTCGTGATGCATGTTATGCGTTGGGCTTGCTGGACGATGATAAAGAATTCATTGATGCTTTTATTGAGGCAAGCCATTTCTCATCTGCCTATTGTTTGAGAATTCTTTTTGTTATATTGTTATGGACAGAGTCAATGGCTAGACCTGAGTACGTTTGGGAAAAATGTTGGTCATTCATGGCCGATGACATTCAATATACTCGAAGGCGAATACTACAACATCCAGGTTATGATTGCCATTCCTACTTATTATTTGTAGATTTTAATTTGTTTCCCGTTACTTTCAATTTTTCCTCAAATTAACTATTTTCATATTCCAGATCTTATTCTTTCTGACGACCAATTGGTGAGGTTTGCTTTGGAAGAAATAGAAAGGTTGTTACAAACCCGTGGGAAAAGTTTGCGCGATTACCCTCCGATGCCTACGGTGGTTCTCGATTCGTTATTATCCTCTAATGACAGGCTTATATTTGAAGAAATGCGTTATGATCAATGCGCAATGAAAGAGGAACACTCTACGTTGTTCAAATCTCTTACGAATGAGCAACTGCAAGTGTATGAGACAATAATGCGGTCTGTTGATGAAGAGGTTGGTGGTATATTTTTTGTTTATGGCTACGGAGGTTCAGGTAAGACATTTGTGTGGAAGACCCTTTCTGCTGCCATTAGGTCTAAAGGGGAGATTGTCCTTAATGTTGCATCGAGTGGTATTGCATCTCTTCTGCTGCCTGGAGGACGCACCGCACACTCTAGATTTGCAATACCGATAAGTCTTAACGAAGACTCGACGTGTCATATTAAACAGGGAAGCCCGCTGGCCAAGCTAATTGTACGCTGTAAGTTGATTATATGGGATGAAGCTCCAATGTTACATAGATTTTGTTTCGAGGCATTGGACCGGAGTATGAGGGACATTTTGCGATTCCATAACCCGAATTGTGGTGCTCTTCCATATGGTGGAAAAACAATGGTATTTGGCGGTGATTTTCGGCAAGTGTTGCCGGTTATACCGCATGGGAGTAGGCAGGATGTCGTGAATGCAACCATTAATTCATCATATCTTTGGTCAGAATGTACAGTCCTCCGCCTCACCAAAAATATGCGCTTGCAAAACTTGACAAATCCATCGGATTCTTACGATTTGAAGCTATTTTCGGATTGGATTGCCAGCGTTGGTGATGGTGTTGCTGGTGAGTCGAATGATGGCCATGTTTGTATTCCTATTCCCGATGATCTATTAATTCACACAGATGGAGATCCTATAGCTGCGATCGTAGAAAGCATATTTCCAGAATATGTTCAATGTACAGGTGATGTCAGTTGTTTGCGAGATCGTGCAATTTTGGCACCGACACTGGCTATTGTTGAGGCTGTTAATGACTATATGACGACGCTCAATGTTGGCGAGGTTTCAAGGACATATCTTAGTTCTGACACTGTTTCTAAATTGGATTCCACAACAGATCTTATGGCGGAGTTGCACACTCCCGAGTTCTTAAATAGTATAAAATTGTCTGGTCTACCGAATCATGCATTGACGTTAAAGGTAGGGACTCCGGTGATGCTTCTGCGAAATATAGATCATTCAATGGGATTGTGTAATGGGACACGTCTGATTCTGACGAGGCTTGGTGATCATGTTTTGGAGGGGAAGATTTTAACTGGTGTGAGTGTCGGTCAAAAAGTCTTAATTCCAAGATTGTCCTTGACCCCATCGGATACTTCCCTGCCTTTCAAGTTTCATCGGCGCCAATATCCTGTTATGATTTCATATGCGATGACGATAAATAAAAGTCAAGGTCAATCTTTGTCCCGTGTTGGTTTATTGTTGAAAAAACCTGTATTTACACACGGACAATTGTATGTTGCAATTTCGAGGGTGACCAACCGATGTGGTTTGAAAATTCTAATTGTTGATGATGATGGGAGAACCACCAACAAAACTCAGAACGTGGTATTCAAAGAAGTTTTCAACAATGTTTAAGGTTGCTTGAAACAGATATTTAGAGACTCATTGTGTAGGAATATTTGGCTGTTGTTTTTTTACTTTAATGTCATGCTTTAGAATCTCAGTTCACCATAATATTAAAGATGTATTTTGTTGATTGTGCTTACGGTATCTTTATTGCATGACATTGCTTAATGTCGTCAATGAATAGAGTGTCTTGGACCTTATTACCTAAAATAGAATTTACAAAAGAAATATATCATGCCGTGCATCGCACGGGTGAGATTACTAGTACATTTGAATGTGATATTTCATAATCAACCTGGGGCAAACAGATCTAATGGAACATGTTTTAAAAGTATGGTATGTGAAAAAATATTCCAATTTTCAAAAATTTCTATGTTGTTTTGATTGATTTCTTTAACTTTACATATTGACTAAAGGATTAAAGGTGTATCATTTCTTGATATGTCAACCTAGTGGTATTAATCAGCCCTTTTCAATCTTCGCTTAGATTATATTTAGAAACTTTTCAGTGTAGTATTGAAACATACTTTGACTGCCCAGATAATATATAACCTTAGTATTCAAAAACAATATCTACTTCTATTATAATAAAATCATATATGCTTGTTGGTTAAATTCATTTTACAATCTGAGCAAAGATATAAAAAAATCACAAAAAACTAAATGTGTAGTATCACGATCAAAAGGTATATGTCAAAAATAGATCGGTTCATTTGGCTGAAAACTTCAGGACATAAAACATGTAAAGAAATAATCAGAAGTTACTATTAATATTATTATTTTAAATTATTTTCTTAGATTATATGGGATAAAGTTTCAGGACTTAAAATAACTATTTTTGCATAAAAATGACAGAAATCTGAAAGCCATTATTCATTTTTTAGTATCTTATGCTCTATTTCATGTTTTTTTCAACATTCTCTAGGTCCCAATTAACTTCTCTAGGTCACATTGAATGTTAAATGAGTACCATGTTTGATTGGAACATATGTTGCTAAACATATCATTTTGCAGACGCTAAGAAGACTTGCACAGAACCGCAGAGATGCTAGAAAAGGTAGATTGAGAAAGAAAATATGCCTTCATTTGAGCTTCCCAATATACATTTGATTGTCTATATTAGACTTATGCATTTTACCCCTGGCGTGAATCCCATTATTACCAGGCATATTCGCAACATCTAGAGAATGGCATGCTCAAGCTAACATGGTTAGAACAAGAACTCAAACAAGCAAGACAACAAGTCTAATAGTAGTTATTAGACCTTTGATGTAGTACTTATGTCAATGGGTTAATGAAATGTTGTAAGCTTTATTTTAATTAATGCCATAAGAATACTTCATCAAACTAATAGTGTGAGCTATATTAGGTGACATGAAGTAGAATGGAATGCAAATCATCTTATTTAGTTATGTCAAAGAGTTGGTGTAAATGCCTTAAAATATATTAAGTGGTAAAAGTAGAATATAATGTCGTTATTATTTAGTCATTATCATGGGCTATGATAACGGAAGAACAATAAGAGTATTAGTTTAAGAGAAAAATATTGTTTATGGGCTATTTTTTGGCACTATGACAGCAAGCAAAACTAAAAATTGCAAAATTTTGTATTCAATTATTTTGTTAACTTTTATTGGGTTGAGATTTTAAACACAAAAAAGGTAAGAAAAAGAGTACTCTTGACAATCTCTCTAGGGTTGCCGTAAGGCAACACCTAGCCTGGTTGTCCGGTTGTGATCGATTATGATCATGGCGCTGGTTTTTGTTATTACTTTCGGATTTTTCCGAATTGGTAGGAGTGTTGGACGTGTGCATACTTCTTGCAGTTTCCAGAAATCAAAGTCGTGGGGGTGTGTTGTTCAGGGGAAGATGTGTATCATCACATGGAATTGCAGAGGGTTGGGGTTTCTAGTAGCGCGCTTCAGTGTCTGACAGATTTGGTTCAAGAGAATCGCTCTTCTATTATTATCTTGATAGAGACAAAACTCAGATGTCAGCGGGAAAGGGAGATTCTGCGTTCTATAGAATACAGATCCGCGGTCCGTCCCCCTCCTGAGCCGCCGCCTTGGATTGATCGAGATGTCGGGGTGTGGAAGGTGAAATTTCAAGAAGTTTGGATTATTTGTTTGTTATTCTATTTTTTATGGTTTCATGATATGTTTGTTGAAGTCTTTAGGTTTGGGTCTACAATAATGATTGTCAATTCTGATAGATATTATGTCATTAGAAGGATCTATATGGCCAGTGATTGATGTGTCACACCCATTTGATGGTTAGCGATTCGTATTGCTCTTTCAGGGGTGATTGTCTCAGAGTCTAGCCGTAGCGTTGATTGCGATAGTTGGTTAGGGATAGTTTTTGTCATGATTGGTCTTTTTGAGTCTGTTGTAATGATCTACTTCCTGATGATTTAATATAAGAGTTGGATTTGATGATAAAAAATAGAGTACTCTTGACCAACATTGTAAAGGTAGACAAAAACATTTTATTTCTTTTAATTTTTCTACTCTCGAACTAAATCTTTTAAGCACCGTGATGGTGAGTCGATCAACTTTGTAACTTTTTTTTCTTTAATCTAAAACATACGTATTTTCTTGTGCTAAATTTTCAATACAAAATAATGGCAAAGATAATAAATTTCATGCTGCATTAATACATTTAGTTCTTATGTTCTTGATCAAAAGTGGAGATCACCAACAATCGAAACAAAGAACATTGTTTAATGAAGACCAATTTCTATATCTAGAAAGTTGTACAAACCTTGGTTTGGTTTTGTCAAAACCAGATGGAGTACAAGTTGCATTTTTTCGTGTATGTCTGAGAATACTCATGTTATCATCCAAAAAAGTTGTGCATCTCATTGGAAATTGTAGTATTGAAGAAGCATTTCTTGGAATATTTGTTCTCAAGAATAGTTCTGCAAGAGGTGACTCGGTTAAGACATTTCTTGATGAGGAAGTTGAGGAAGAAGATGACAGCGATAATAACTCTTATCAATGTCATTGATTGGTTTGGAGATGTAATGAAAAGAAAGAACTGATCGGGAATGAAGGGTCTTATCAATGATTGGGTTATTGTTGGAAATTATGGGTGTTTTGTGCGACATCCAGTTTTTATGTGTGGACGGTTGTCAGTTGCACTTTCAAAGGTGAGAATTTCGTGAGACTTGTAATTCGTGATATGCGACGATAGAGATATTCAGGAAATAAAATTACGAATGTGTTGTCTACAAGGAAATCTTCAATAATTTGTAATTTAGTGCTTATTAAAATTATAATGCTCCGTATTTGTTATTATTTATTTATTGATTGATATTAAAATTCTTATTTATTTGTTAATAATATTTGAAAAAATATCACGGTCTAATTATTTTTATATGTTAACATTTATAAAATTCTTCATTTTACATCTCGTGCAACGCACAGGTGGAGAGTACTAATTTTTTTTAATTGGACAGTTTTTGTCTAGACCAGACATATATAAGTAATTTGACCATACTTAAACGAGTAAAACAAAACTTAAACGACAAACATCAAACCTGACTCCGATAATAGAAGATTACACACTAATGGAGATGTTAATTACTAGACCAAAATAGTCTGATTTAAGCGGGATGAGAAAATTTAAACCAAAATGATTACTTTAACTCCTTCCGATCCAATATTAGGTCTCAATTTTTCTAATTTAAGTGTCCCAAATTGGAAGTCAATTATCCTGTTTGCGAAAAACTTTTTATAAAAAATTTGAATTTTTGCCTCTTTCTGTTTTTTGTGTACTCCGTACAAATTTAACTTCTTATTTTTCTAAAGAAGATAAAAGGTATGGTATAAGATTGTCAGAATTTTTTTTAATATTAGTTCTCGTAAAGGTGAGACTTAAGTTTTAGGAAAATTTGATAATAATAATCTCAACTATTGGCGGTCCGCTCATAACAATTCCAACTACCGATTATCTCAAAATAATCCCAACTTTAGGGAATCTTGGGCTCCACTTTTTCGCTAATCTTGAGGCCTGCTTTGCTACCGTCTGACCGTCCGATGCGCAAGGCAATGTCCTAGTCGGGCAGAGGATCCCAATCCGTGATTATGTACCACTTTATCAGTTTAATAGTTGAGTAAAATGCATAACTAGTCCCTAAATTATCAGTCTCATATCATTTTGGTCCCCGAACTAACAAATCTATCTTTTCAGTCCCTAATCTATGTAATCCATATTAGTTCGGTCCTCCTATCTATATTTTGACGTTAAACTAACGGAATGTACTTAGTTAGTGCATGTATGTGTAAATCAAAATGCTTACAAGACAAAATATAACTTATAAAAATCTGATTTAATATCTAAATAAATTAGAATCAAAACTACTATCAAATCATAATATAATGCGTTAAGACATACTATCGTAATATACTATATCCGTTTTCTTTTAAATGCAACATTGGACTTTTTGCACTATTCATATGTTCTACTTTGACTCTATTTTATTTAATACGGAGTAATGTATATATTATAAAATAAATTTAAAAAAAAGTGTTAAATTCCTCTCATTTTCAAATTTCAAAATCTATTTTTTACTAATATTTGTATAGTTCTCAAAATTTGTCAACACACAAGTTTCACGTTTGGCAACACTCAACTTTGACCATTAATATCTTTATTTCCTTCTTAATAAAAAAATTTAAGAGAAAAAATTTAAAATATATTTTATTAAGTTTAATTCGGCTGAATTTTTTGAATCATCTAATTCGGCTGAATTTTTTGAAATCGTCTAATTCGGCTGAATTCGGCTGAATTTTTTGAAATTTATGAAGTTCTGGCTGAAGTGGCTGCATTGACTGATTCTGCTGATTTAAGAGAAAAAATTTAAAATATATTTTATTAATAAAATAAAGAAAAAATTATATGTAAAAATAGCTAAAATGGTCATCTACAGTAACTTCAGCCAATATAGACAGAAAAGTAACTCCAACATTACTTTTTCTTATTATTACGCAGTTCATCGCACGAAAGCAAAAGTTACGTGTTTGGTGAAAAAGTTGCCTGATAAGCCTGATAAGCCAAAAAACAGTGTTACCAAACGGCCTCTAAGACTTCAGATCACAATGAAAGAAGCTTTAAAAAAGTGAAAAAGATACTTTTATCAACTTTTTAAGGCTATGTTTGGGGCATAAGTCTCTGCCTTCT